ACAAACATCCATTGAAAAGAACAGTAATTAAACAAATATCGTATTGCCTTTGTCGGCAACATACAAAACAAAATCGCATTTAGTAAATGGAATTAACCTTTGTGATTCCTGGATTCCTGTGATTCCTGTACCACAATGAACAAACTATGGAAGCGTCTAGGCTAGATGTACAATCAATTTCTAATAAACCTATAAATTTACATCAAACTTTCAGAGAGATATAAGTTGTCGTGTTTGCATTCTATAGAGCAATTGAATAAGCAAATCTTAGTCTAAAAATTGCCTTCAAATATATTTACATGTAGTGAACATGCTAGGTAAAGCTGGATTATTTGTGTATAAAAAAGCGCTCTGTAAGTTTCACATTCACCCTTGATTTCAATGCAAAGAATGTTCTTCCCATATAAACTTATATAATTACTTTTTCATTATAAAAGGATAAATGAATCGCTATCTGGGTGTATTTTACATGATTATTAATAATTAATACTCATACTTAAATACACACCGCATTGTAAAAATGTAAACAACCTAATAGAAACCTGCTAGAACCTGATGATAATTGTCATATCCCTGCGCACAGGAAATAATGACCTTTTAACAACGCATTGCTCTATGAAAGCAATGCTTTGTACGTAACAAAATCCCATTTAGTAAATGGAATTAAGCGACGTAATGACCGTATAACTTGTCTCCAAAGACAATTATCGATTGCGTCGAGAAAATTAAACGGAATGAAATAAGACTTATCAGAAGAATAAAATGCGACATTTCAGAGTAATTTTTTCAATAGTGATATTATCTTGAACAAGAGCTGTCAGTAGGTCAACGTGCTCGACTATTCTCAGTGTATAATAGTTAAATAAAACAGGGATAACAGAAGTAATTTCTAAGTTAAAAAAGGGCCATAATTCTTTAAAAAGTCATGTTTTCTTAGAATAATTGGTATTTGACTATGACTTCCTATTATGCTTTTAAATAAGTGAGTATAATAGCTCTCCTGTTTCTAAGAATAGTCGAGCTCAAAGTGCCTGTACACAATTGTACACTATAGCAATACATTTCGGGGAACAATGTTATAAAACCAGTGGTGAATGAATTATTTGATTGGAAAGGTTTTTTTTTATAAAACGGGAAAGAACTGATACTTCGCGTCCAAAGGTTTCATTCATATCTAAAAGGTTTTTTTTTCTTGCATGACACATCGATCATCGTCATTTTCAGATTTATTTTAAGAGAAAGTTTCCATGTCTCATTTTGTACTTTTGTGCAGATTGCATTAATGTAGAAACTACATATTTTTCTCAAATATGACCATATTTTAGGCACAACACAATTTCGCTTTTCTGGGTAGTATTTTAGACTGCTTGAAATTATTTTCTCAATTATTTGCAACAATTCAGGCTTTGTTTCATGAAAAATAAAGATATATGAATGTATATTTTCTGTTTATTTCTACAACTTAACCTAGAAATTGATTTTTATGGCACTCTACCTATATATCATATCTTTTTATGTCCATGATAAAATGTCTCGCCCACTCAGGTAAGGTAGTTGTGACATTTGTTTTTTATTTCCTTTGTCTACATGGGTATATCATTATTTAGAACAATTAACTTCCTTTTGAACGCCGCATTTTTCTCTTTTCATGCTCGTTATGTAATGGACATCTCTTTCTAGAACGGTCTTGATCGGTATTTGAAAGCTTCAGTTAAGGGGTGGTGGTACAAAAACTTTCTAAAAATGTGAGGCTTACTTGCATAAACTGTAACACATGCTCAAGTCAATGAGTACTTTATCTATGAAGATATGCTCAATAAATAAGTGCCATAATCACTGTACTGAATCATATACCGATTTCAGAAAAAAGAGGATTTGGAATTGGTTATAGCTTTAAATCACTGAATTAGGCCAAACGCCCCCTACTATAGTATTATCGTCTTAACCTACGGTAACTGAATAAATCCATAACCAAGTTATCATCATTGCAGCAAAGTGAATTACCGCTCAGGGCAAATTTGACCTTATATGCTAAATGTTAAACCTTAACTAAGAAAACTTGTTTTAGCTAGCCTTACTTGTTAGTTATTTCAATTATCATGCACTGATCATATAAAGTGAAATAACAAAGACGAAACTTCATCATAAAAAGGAATTTATATAAATGTTATGCTTGTTTTCCAATGAAGTAAAATGATGGTGACGTTAACCAAAGGCTTTTTTACCGTTAGTGTATTTAAATTTTTTTTCGGAATGTGTACCTTGGGGGACCTGTACATTTATTAAAACCCAATAACTTAATTAAAAAAAAACGGTGTCTTATGCATTTAAAAATTTTAATAAAAATTTCTAAAATTGTAACTCTATATTTTTGAATAAAGGTTACTGTTGGACCGTAAAAAATTTGACTAACCCGTACGGGATATTTCCCGGAAAACAAAATTTAAAAACAATTTACTTAAAAACGAAACTTTCAAAACAAGTTAAAATTAAAAATCTAATTTAAATTGCCCTAGCTTTCGGCCTTTCGGCTTTTCAGCGTAATTTATTATACTACAAATATTCAGACAAAAAAAGGGCTGACTACTCAGCAGCCCAAACAAAAATTTTTTATAAAAAAGTTTAATAAATGTTCTTTTTAGTGTTCAAAATTTAGTTTTCGGAAATTGGAGTGAAACTTCCATGGACCCCTTAAAATGACCTTTAAAATTTTTTGTTGTTTTTACAAGTGTATAAATATGTTTAAACGGATGATCATAATTTCGTTCAAATTGATCAAACGAATAAATGTTCGTTTGAATAAAATGATGATTAACTGTTATTTCGTTAAAACAAAATCAATTATTATTCGTTTTAGCAAAAAAGTATTTCGTTTTATGCTAATCTAATTTCGTGTAACAAAATCCTTATCGATACAAAATAAAACAACATAAAGTGATGCAATGATAATAAATGTAATAAATTTAAAAACTCTATAGCCACCTCAATCAAACCAAATCTTGGTTAAATCCAGCTTATGCTGCGAAAGACATGTTAATTCTTAAATCTACTGGAAATTACGTCTGATAATTGAAATCAGCGTTGGAAGTTTATTAAAGAATTAACAACAGATAAACGTATTAAAATTATCAGGGAAAAAAGTGACATTTAGTATTGATTTTTATATTGATTGTTAAATATACATTTGTACCATGAAGAAATATATAATTGATTATCATAAAGTATATTATGACGCACCTTATTCAAGTACATGACTTGTATTAGAAAACATTTTTTTTCAGGAAAAACAACAACAAAAAACCCCCAAAAAAACAAAAAACAAGCAAAAACCCGCGATGAGTCATAATTTATTTGTTTATGTAACTTTACAAACTTTATTTAATATTATCTGATAATGAAAGTTAATCATCCTTAAGTAAGTTTACAAAACTTAAAGTATTTAAAGCATAATGCAGAACCTCCATTTTGAAAAGTATTCATTTTCAATGAGGATACATAGTTTGCATGGAGTGTTGGTTCAAGCACTATTGGTAGTCAACTTTTTATATTCTTTTTGTGATTTACATTCTATTAATTTGTCTGGTCAAATTATGGTTTTCATTTTTGTAAATTTTTGAATTAAATATAGTTGCAAATTTATATGAACTTTGTAGTGTTAAATAAGTGAAAGTAGAAAAAGTTTACAACTTAAATTGCTTATATTGCCAAATCTGGACGGTAAACCTCCCTTTATTTTTGATACAAATGTTCAAATTGTTACTAAATAATCATGATGTGAAGAAATAAAGGTGCCCAATTGACAGATGACAAATTTTCCTGAATGGTTCATACAATTTGACACATACCACTTTAAATTAACCGAAAAGATTTTTGTTAGATATTCTTTTCTTTTCTTTAGTTTTCTTTTCATATCAAATCTATGATTGTTTCTTGTAACCTCTAATGTTAGATAAAATCGAAATAAGTAAAACTGTTCTTTAACGGATGTACACATATCTTTTATTGTTGTCCTATATATCTTACACAAAAGTTCAACTGAAAACTTCAACATTTTTCAAACAAGATGGTAAGACTTTGTTATTTTTTGTATAAATTTTTGTCAAGAATACGATAAAGTGTGATTATATCAAGTTTTAAATGACTTCCGAAACATTGTCAATTAGATACATCTAATACCTTTAATAGTATAATCTGATAATGACGTTATAACTTGAATCACACAGTGATAGCTATGCGTACAGTTTGACTTATGAAATCTTTTTTATTTCCAATTATAATAAGACTCAGTATTGTATGTAAAGTAATGCGCAGACTTTCCATGAAGGGAGATAACACGCTGTTATCACAATTATCTTGAACTCGCAGACTTAAAAACAGAAATGCATTCATGAGATGTTTAGATTTGTACAAGTAATAAAGAACCATGTGGGCTGATCGCATATATTCCCGACAGACAACTCTTACAGTATTATTAAATTTTGTTATGCAAGTTACTTCCCTTACCGTGCACGAACTGATTTCTTTTTTGTTTCGTTCGGAAATATCACTTTTTCCCCTCATAAATCGTATATTGGGGGAGAAATATATACATCTCACAAGGATTTATGTGTTACATGCATAAAAGTTAACACACTAAGTATCCATAGTCACTCATACATTTAATGTGATTAAATGAATAAGATATTGCGACTAATCAGGCATTACATTAACATTTAATTGAGTTTAATGTGTTTTATCAATATGGCATCATAACATTTCGATGCGTTTAATGTGATTTTATTTATTAATAACTCATTGCACGTAATCTGATTTAAATCAGACATTGCAACAATTTGATGCGTTTAATGTGCTTTTATTGATAAAGCATTATAACCGTTCTGTTAGAAGAACAATATAATATTGCTATTTGTTCGGAGTAGAAAATCTTGTTAGTTTACTCAAATTGTATGAAGTAAAATGTTAAATATTTTAAAATTATCAACGTAATTCGAGACACTTACCAGTCACAAGTCTGTTTAAGGAACCGCCATGCTCAACTAGGTACCCGAGGCCCATCTTCGAGTTCATCAACGTTTTGATACAACCAATGACCTCTAGAAGCAAGAGGGCGTCAGAGAGCTGTGTCACGCGTTTTATACCAAGCGTGTCGACAAGATCTAGCAGCATTTCACAGCCATTCAGGTCTAAGAACTCACTACTCCATTCCTTTTTATTCTGGTTCAGTTTCCTGTTCAAAGCTGACAAAAATTTCAACGAGGGTTTATTTTTTATGAAATCTATACACACTTCCGGTGAGAAGGCATCAATGTTCTGATACGATATTGCGTCCAACAATTTACTTTGCATACGTCCAAACGGATTTTTCTTTTTTGCTTTCTCTTTCGGTGAACTTAGGACGGTCTTTTCTACATCCGCGTCCGTTTTCTCAACTACAGCTTCATCAGCTGACGAGTTTGAACTAGAAGAATCGTGATTGCCATTAGTTACTACTTTATCTTCTTTCTCAACAGCCTCCTTGCTTTTAGTCCCATTACGATCCTTTTGTTTCCTTTTCTTCTTCTTTTTTTCACCATTCTCTTCACTACACGATTCGTAAGACGAACTATTTTCAGACGAAGATCCTGACGAAGAGTTGCGTTTCTGGCTTTCTAAGCTTGTTTCCTCCTTTCCATTAACCTTAATTTGTTCCTCTTCTTTATCTACATTACCGTTCATTTCATGAATGTCTACAGCAACGTCTTGTACATCAACACTAGTACTCTTGGCATCAGTCTCATCTTTAGAATCAATTGTTTCTTGCTTTGATAAAGCAACATTTTCCTTATCTATATCTTGATCTTTTTTGTTCTTTAAACTACTTTTCGTTCCGTGTTCTGGACTAGGCTCTTTTCCAAACTCAACAATATCAACGGGACCGTCTCGAAATTGTTTTGACTCCACTTTACCCATCTTTTCAGTATCACCTTTGTCTGAGTCAGTTTTATGCTTCTCAAACGGTTTCTTTGACGGGTCTGTATCCTCTTGTTCAGAAGATCCTAAACAAAACAAATTAAAAGCTGAAGACTTTGTTCGTTTTGTCTTTTCTGGACTTTGTTTCCCGGATTTGCGCCGGAGTTTCCGAATAATCGACGCCATTGCCCTGAAAGACAAAAGAGAGACATGAAAGTTGATTATCAAAAATAAAGTAACAATTAAAGCTGAATTGGTGATTTTTCGGAAGTTAGAAAATGTAAACAGTAAAATGTACTTATTGAAAGTAGTCTGAAAGGAATAGGTAAAATTGTTTAACACGTGCTTTATTGTCATTATTCAAATATTCAAGGACGAAATGGAGTAAAACATTCCAGAAATTATGAAATAAATGTAATATATTATAATGTTACAGCCAGAACTGAAGCCTTTTCTCAATGTCTTCAGAAAAGACTTAGTCAATAATACATTAGCCATATTATGTTCTAAACAACGGCATAATATTATCACATTTCACACATTATTAGCTCTTTTAAAGAGCTAATATTGATAGCAATAGCTTTATTTTTATATAATAAAAACATCGAAGATTATGTGCCATTTGATGAAAATATAGACAATGGAGAGTACATGTCTCATATCAGTCTTTGACAAATGTTCATCGATTGAAACATTGTTTATACACGTATGATACATCATCATCATCATCATCATAATCACCATCGTCATCATCGTTATCATCATTATCATCATCATCATCATCATTTTATCATCATCATCTTCATCGAACGGATCATTATACCGGATGAGCAAAGTAATGTTTAGTAAAATGATAGAACTTATAGCGTCTACTATGGCATTGACATTGCAAGAAGCATTTGCAATACTGCAGCACCAACGTTTATATTGATTTAAAAATTATTAGGTTAAATATCAAATTGATGTTAAATAAAATAAGGTCTGGAAAACCATATTATAGTCTTATTTATATTGTTTTAAATGAATTTTGGTGATAATTATTCTAACATATAACAGGAAGTAATTTTAACAGTAAAATCCTACGAAACATTTTACTATGGAATCATATCAAACAGGTCGATATCGAAACTATTCGTACGACACTCATTAAGTGAATAAAGATGAAAAATGAATTTCTACGGCAACATTCCTAGAAAACAGAAAACTAAATTGCTAAGTAAGGAAATTACAATATTACAATTACATTTCCAAATAAACATTAGCGAAAAATTTACATGATGATTAATATTGATAATATGTCAGCAAGGAACTGTAGCTGAAAAATCATAGGAAACAAAGCTTCCTGAAACATCGGGTTTACTTAAAAGGCCAATTATTTTAAAAAGATGCTATTATTTTCATTTCTCAAAGCTTTTTATTTTTGGCCCAAAAAACTTGGAAAAAAGTGACCTTTTGGCAAATTACCTGAAGCATCTTTTGCTACTGTTGATATTTGGCAATGAGTGCAGTTTTAGTGATTGAGTGTTTTTGTATGGTAGTTAAAATACTGTTTTATTTTACATTTTGCTATTTTTAGGTCACAATAGTGCACGCGCGGTCCTACTTTCTTCTTACATGCTATATAACCATTATTTAAACATCATAAAACTCATGTTTGCCTTTTTTAAAGACGGAAACAATTCTTTGTCTCTGAAGCATAATGTGCCTTTAAATGTAAGGCAAATTGTAAATAACTTGTGAAGTTTCAGAAAGAAGACGTTTCTCAAGAAGTTTGTTCGACATGCTGAATAGCACGCTTGTCAAATCGGAACATCTCGGGCGACTTCAGTCTTTCTTACGGAGATGTCGGAGAAAGCCGACTTTTTACGATTGGCGCTTATCAATGAATGTAAACAAGCCACAAAAAAGTGGAAAAAAAATAAATCAGTTGGTGTGACACACATTATATACAAATTGCTGTTTTGTGTTCGTGTTACAATGGATATTCTGCACTTTGCGGTTTGATAAAGGATTGCCATGCATATCCGTTTCCTGCCTTGTCGCTTTGTGAAGACAAATATAGGATAGGGAATGTGCACTTTTCATGTAAAGATAACCTCTTATTTAATAAGATTAAACAATGCAGAATATTATGTTAGATCTGTATGAAAAGTACTACTTCTGGCGTCAATTGTATCTCAATGGTTGAAAAATAAAAAATACCAAGATAGTTCCTCGGTTAATGAATAAAGGCAACAACAAAAATATATGGAAGGGAATATAAGTCAGTTCGTCGTTCGTATTGATTGCTATTCAAACATACTTATTCTTATTTTATGATGATACTTTGTACGCAAACATGCTTGCACGACCTCGTGGCTCTATACTCGTGACAAAAAGGCGAAATAATTTTGATTTCAGCATGTTAAACGTTATCTAATATACAAAAAAAAACAAAAAACAAATATTTCATTCTCACGTACAAACGCAAGCAAAGCATTCCCCTTTTTCATACATGGTGGTCTCTTTTATAACAAAAACATTTGTGGCATCATCTGCCCGCTTGGAAGACACACCTTCATATAAAACTATCATTCTTGTTTGTTTGTTGAAAGTTATATTTATCAATATATGAATTTGGTCAAAATTATAAATGATCATAATAAACTTGTTCACTTTATCCCATCTGATAAGTAAGCTCTACAAAGCTCTCGTGACTGTCAATGAAAAGGTCGAGACAAACTTTGATAAATTAATTGACAAGATAAAGTCCCCCGGAAGAAGACGGACAATAACATGTCTACACCTTTAGACTGTAAGGTCGTCAAAATGTTGACATAAACAATCATAAAGTAATTAACTTATCCTTGTATACATTCGTATATCTAAATTGATGACAGACAATGTTTTTATGAGTGCTTAACCTTTTTATTAACATGTATCAGTTTACAAAAACATGTACAATTTAAATTGCCTTTTTTATTGTTTAAAAAGAGGTAAAAATAGGCCCATATCATTTTAATCACATTTAAGCTTTTTACAATAAATGACAACAACAATAACAAAATGTTTATTCATTAGTGTGTTTATAAAACCAGGTTTTACTACGATTATCATAGCTATTCATAAAACATAATTTAATATTTTTGAATTATATTACAACTGATAGCTCCTGTTGTTACAATCTGTAAATTTATATGAAGGATCTTGTAGCTGGCAGAAAGTGCAATACTGCCCGGCTTAGAGTTTCTTTTTGATGGGCCTTTATAACGTCTTGAGTCATTAATGTCCGGAGTTTGAATCAATATTGGCGATTTGATTTCACTTAACTTAGTATGTTGAACATTACTGGAACACATTATTGAATTGTTATAATAAGAAATATTACAGTTTTTTTTCTCAAGAATTCCGAAAATACCGGTAATATGCCAAATGTCTTATCGGGAAAGCGGTTAAACATTGGCTAAAACAAAAGCAAGCATGCCTTTCTGTTTTCTCAGTGCTTCATTTTAAAACCAGAGCCTGGGTAGATTGTAGAATTTAAAAAAGATAGTTCAAAAGGGCCATAACTCTGTCGAAGTCCATGTTAGACTTATTGGCATTGGACAGTCATCTCTATTATACTCTCAAATAATTGTATGAAGTTTCAATCTATTCATTCCCTTTAGTATTGTTATGTTGTTGTTGTTCAGTATTGTTATGTTGTTGTTGTTAGAGATACAAACTTGCATGCAAAATTTAACCAAAGTATTACGCCGGCGCCTGGGTTAGTACAGTAGCACGTCCTATATTCTTCAGAAAGAAGTGCGAAAAACTCATTTCAAACAACTCCATGCCAGCTTACAAATGAATTTACATACAAAATACATACATTATGAGTATATATAGAAAACTTACACGCTTAAATCGTTTCATATTCAAAGTACACAAAACTTGATTTTGTAATATTAAAGGGCTTTCTAATATCGTAAATAAAACCTAATGGAGTGGAACATTTTTGATAAATGAGCTAATATATGTAAATTGGCTTCGCACGCGATAAAAGATGCTATCTTTATTAAATAATGTAAAGGAAAATAGCATAAATTGTTGCAAAATTTCATTCATTTTTTTCATCATTTAAAAGTGCATCACAGTGGGTAGCTTTGTATTTGAAATGTCTCACGCAACTTCAATTGAAGAATCAAAACAGCCCACATACTTTAAAAAACACTATGTTCAGCGGCCGTAAAAAACGGCCTTCACAAATATTTAAGGCTGTTGATTCTTAATTATTTCACCCGAAATTTACTTAATCATCCACTTTCGGGCAAAAGAAAGTGGGCGTTGCTCTCAGGTATTTGGAGATTATAATTTTTGATTGATTATTAGGCAAACATGTAGAGAAGTGTCACTTTAAAGTAATCTCGGGTTAGCATAATTTGATAAGCGCGTGAAGGGTCCGACCAGTGTTATCTGTTTCAAGTTTCATTTAAGTAAATCATAAAAGTAGATAGTTGAGGGTCAAGTTGAATAAATACTCTCAACATTTTGTTGATCAAACTTATCATTAACTGAGTAAGTAAATTATATTCAGTCGATCTATAAATACATTAATTTTGATATTCAGGTCACGTGATTAAATTCTATATAATAATCATATGATTAATAAATCTCATCAGTAACTAAAAAGAGACGTCGAATTTATGCACCAACACTCTATGCCTTATTGGTTAAACGTTTATTTTTTGTACGAAAACGAAAATAATTTAGTAGTGTTTAATTTTTTTAAATATAATAAGTTAACAAGATCAGCAGTACACTTGTTTAGATACACGTTAATGAGTGTATCAATAATGCACACCCGTCCCCACAAAAACAACAACAACAACAACAAAACAACAACAACAACAAAACACACACACATAAAGTCAGTTATAAATACGAGATAAGCAAGACGTAGATTACTTTTCCTGAAAAATAGATTTGAGTGAGCAAAGCACTTCTTTCAAGTTCTGACTCAATTAATATTATAATCATTTAGCACATATTAATTTTATTCATATATTTTTTACGTAAAAACAATGTTAGCTGTACATCCAGGGACAGACTAGTATTCATCAATTTCCATTTTCCCATAGTATTAATATTTTTTCTGTACTTGTGTATCAACGAATGACGTAACGCTATTAATATAATTATTATATTATAAGTGTAGGTTTCCTGAACACT